ATATATACACATATATATATATTTTAACGTGGGTCGTAACAGTATTTGGGCGTCTTGAATGACGCTATGTAATTGTTGTATAGGCCCGTATAAACGAGGATATTATTGGTTAATTACCGATTTTTATCTTTATATTTATTCGTTCGAAAATATATGCGGTAAAAAAGACACTCGTTTCTCTTGCGTGATGTCTCTCATTTACCATAATGTTTCGTGACGTTACTTTTAATAGTTAAGCCAGTCTGATTTTTTAATGTGTTTACTTGATGTCTCCTTCTGTAAGCCCTTTTAGCCATTCTTTTTCTTTTTTTTCCGTCTTGTAAATCTGTTTATTAAAAAAAAAATACACAAAAATTAATTAACATTTCTATACGAAATGTAGATTTATTTAGCAAAATTTAAAATACAGTACTAAGGTCATTAATATTGTATATGTATAGACTATTATCATGTAAATCCTAATATAATTAAAGGTATTCAAACGAGAAAACCTTTATTAAATAATATAAATTCATTACAAGAGCTTAAAATAAAATCCTCAAAATAAAAATTTAAATATTTATACAAGAATTAATTATTATTATTATTATTATTATTTAGTTTTTTATAATGTTGTTTTTTGTTTTTTTAGGGAAGGAAATGGCTAAGAATGCATAATTTTAAAGCTTTATTTTTGATTTTTAATTCTTTAAAAATAAGCAAACTGGTTTTGTTTACAGCTAAAAATCCCTTCCTTATGCTTATATTAGAGTAGACCAAACTGTAAAATAGCCTTTTGGTTTTATTATTAATGGCCTTGGATGTCGTTGGTATATTTATAATAATGAAAAATTATTATTAATTAATTTAAAATTTCAAATATATATATATATATATATATCAATTTTATAATTGAAAAAGTTTATAGCCAATTAAAACACGCGGAGAGACTTTAAAGGGAAATTACTGTTTGCGATAAATTAATCGAAGTTTTAGATATAAATGGGCGGTTTGTGGTTGGAAAAATCAATGTTATCAGTGTAACAGTGATAGATCCGAGAATATGGAAGGTATTTCCTTTTACTTGTTTATCACCGCAACTGTGTTAATAACCCGATATTTTGTAAATTCTGATCAAACCGGTCTGTCTCGTGTTCTCGGAATATCAATTCTAAGAAGGTTTGGTACAAGTCCAAATTAATTTCTGACCGAATATCACTTTTAATACTCGATTTTTTTTTTTCGTTTTAACTCGCTCCGATGGGAGTAAATCTCTGTTTAGTCAAATTACTTCCGATGTTTTCGGAAGTGATAAAGTTAGAGACGTCACAACATTAATTTTAAATATTTATTCTAATATTAGATGCGCTCCGTCGTAAATTTCATGGTCGTCACGTCACGTCACGAAACGTAAAAAATTCACGTTTTGCTAGCCGCTTCGGATCAAAGCGGTTTGGAGGGCGTGGAGGGAATTGATCGCGCACGTGAGACTGACCTAGTTTTGCCCAAATGGCAACACCCAAGTCACGTGGCTCGATTTTTTGATGGACATCGTTGAACTTGATTCGATATTATTCAAAATAACAAAGAATTTTCGAGTAGTAAAGTAAGTCAAGGATTAGTTAGTTACATTGATTTCGAGAATTATATATATACACATATATATATATTTTAACGTGGGTCGTAACAGTATTTGGGCGTCTTGAATGACGCTATGTAATTGTTGTATAGGCCCGTATAAACGAGNAAACGTTATATTTATATATATATATATATATATTAAATATATTTATAAATGTATATAATTAAAATTATAAAAAAGAGCGTAACTTATAATCAGCTTTACCTAAAATTTCCTTGTTTTAAGATCAGTGGACATGTGATAAAATACGCAAATTCTAATGAATACAAAGAAATTACAGCTTAATTTGCGTGACCACTAACAGTAAATAGCGTAATTTTATACAGGCTAGTTTTTGATTGACAAAAAATGTCTAATCTGATGTCTAGACAACAACATGTTTCTAGGCATCACTTAAGATCAGAATTAGATAGATATAAGCATTAGCGGGTGCAGAAATCTTAAGAGGGGTTACAGAAAGGAAAGAGCATGCCTAACAAAAATTTGTTACTACCTGATGTACCCGGCTTTACTCGAAAAAACCCTTAGAATGGGGGTGGCAATTGCGCCCTGCGTATCTCCTAAATCCGCCCCTGGATATACAAGTACTGTACAAACATTACTCGGTTGTAAAGGATATACGACTGTTTTTTACGATTCGAAAATTGTATAAAGAAGTACAGTGTATAGAAGCCGTTCAGATTGATGTTTTTTTTTTTGCCAGATGTAATCAGAAAAAATAACGCTATTCTATCCAATTCATTAGCTAAAAGACGTTTACCAGATTGTACACGTAGGAACTCCACTCCCTCACTCACTCGACAATCATCAAATACTCAATATTAACATCGCATTTTCTCTTCTCCTTCCTAACTTGGATCACGATTTTCTTACGAAGTTAAATTATTCGAGTAATTATATCGTTTTACTCTCAGAAAATTCCGCTAGAGAAAATTGCATTTACTTGGTTTTCAAAACCTCGGATCTTATTAATATAATCGCATTTATGCAATTAAAAAGATGGATAACAACATAACAACACGTACTTTAGCTTAGATTTCATAATGCAGATTGTAACAGCTATTGTATTATTATTATTGTTGTTGTTGTTATCTTTATTTTTTTTAATAACTGCCTGAAGATTATGTAAAGTATATATATATATATATATTTATTTATTTGTTTTTATTTTTTAAAATTTATTATAAAGTAAAAAGAGACTCGGTTGTTGCTATTTATAGTAAAACGATCACGTGAATCGTTCACTTTTATTTTCTAACAAATGGCACGTGCGCTCGAGTTGCTATTATTAATTTAACTTTCACTTTTTTTTTTCCTTTCTTTTTTTTTTTCATCTTCTTCTCTTTCATAAAAATACGTTCATTGATATTTTTGTTTATTAAAATTTTTAATTTAATTCTTATTCCAGCGATTTGTTTAAAATGAGTAAATTTCTTCCTGAAAGTAATTTTAATTGACATACTTTTTTGTTTTAATTAAAAAGTAAGAGTTAAACGGTGCCAATTAAAAATCTATATTGATTATTTTATAGATTACATTCGTTATTATAATAAATTACTATTTTATAATATATATTTTCTATCGATTTTTATGGGGTTCGTATTTCAAAGAGAGCATTTCTTGTGAAAAAAAAATTGATATCGAGTTAAAAATAAGACTTTACGTATGAAGTAATTAATAAAATCAAATTATTTAGAGATATTTAATTAAATTATATAAATAATAAACAACGTATTATATTACCTTAGCGTAGGCTTTAAAGAATTTCAATTTAAAAAATACTCTATCGATCGTATAGATTATTACTTGTTTATGTATTGTAAATATATATGACACGTAAACAATGATTTGAAATTTGTAAATATTAAGTGCATAGTAATGTGAATTTATAACACAATGATAACAGCGGAATTTTGCAAACGGTACCGATGAACTTTATTATTATTATTATTATTATTTAGTTTTTTATAATGTTGTATCAATTATATAGTAAGAAGCATGACTTTAGCTAGACAGACAATGACTGGGGAGAGATTAGAAATGATTTCCTAATCTCATAAAATGCTTTTATATATTCCCCTTTTCTCCCAGGATTATTTAAACGTATTTTATTTTATAAATCCGGAAGAGAGTGGGGGGATTAAAAATTTCAGGAGGGAGGAACTTTAATAAGAATATAGGATTATGGACAGAATCCTTAATCCACTAAGAGCTAAAGAGATCCAATGGAATACCACACAGGAAAATCATTAACTTAATGCGCTTTACTATCACAGGGGAGCTTTGTAATCACTTTAGGCTCGACTGCTAGCCACATAAGGGCGATAAAAAAGCGATTTAATAAAAGCGAGAATTCGCTAACCAAAATACATTAAAAACAAGACGGATGAAAAAAAAAGGCCGTCGGTTTGTCCGTCCTCTCGCGGGACACACTGATTGTGAAAGACTTGTTTGTTCGGTTTCGGGTAGTAAAAAATCCCCCTTTCCCCGTCAAGGAAAGTATTTAGCTGTCCTGACGCTAACTAATAAAGTAAGGAGAGGCTAAACGTTCCGCATTCGAACAAGGATGTCGGTGACGTAACGAGTGACGTCAACGTGATGTCAGACAATCGGGTACGGTTACTATGACGACCAAGGACAAGATGGAGTGTGGGCAGTGGACGTGACGGCATTTCTCCACCCCGGCGAAGAAGGGGTAGGACGAAGGTTCATCGCTGCGAATATACAATCAGCGATTCTCACGTTTAATTGTAATTACCTAAAGCGATTAAAGGTATTTTTAACTTATAAAAATTTTAACTTTTACGCGGGAGATAATTTATTTTACGCCCCCCTGCGAGAAATTAGGCCTGTATATCGGCTCGGATTTTTTCTTTTTCCAGGTGGAAGAAAGTAACTCGAGGGATTTGGCGGATAGTTTGGACGAAAGCAGGTGCTTGATGAACAATCGCGAATTAGCCCTTTTGGCTTTTTTTTTTCCTTTAAGGGGGCTTACAAACACCAGACCCCTATCCCTGTTTACAAAACATCCCCATTGTTGATATGTTTTTGGCGGATTGTTTGTAAGAACCGAGGGGGTCAAAGGTCGATTGTTGTTGGTTCCTAACATCTGTCAGGCACACGTGAGGAGAAAAAAGCGCCTTGTTTTCTTCAAAAACTACTTCGCAGACGTGTTCTGGCCGAGTTCCAATGTTTGGAATCGAATCCCAAACAGGCACGGAAGGAGACGGATAACTTGAGTTTTTGCCTTAAATGATCGTGTCAAAAATATCTGTTCGGTGTCTAATTATAGAATTAAAACAATAGTTTCTCGGATCTCGCCTTATTTTTCTGGTAGAACAATATTGTTTACGACGAAGGAAGGTAAAGAAAGAAGAAAAAAAACAATGACTGTACGCCCACGTCGTGTTTCTGCGCCGATTAACACCGAGCGAAAGCACGTTTTGAACGTATGATGAACACAGGATATTGCCGAAATAAATGTAATATTATAATCTCATCAACATCGCAACCCACTCCTACCTGGCTGCTGGGGGAAAGGAAGCGAAGTCGCACGTAATGACATTTTGTCATGCGCCCCCGTCATAGTTGCCATGGAGACGCTGCGTTTCTCACCTGGCGCCCGTCCAACTCTCACCTGTACTGACGTGGGTGAGAGGTGATCTTTCGCCTCCCCCTAAATGTAATGTGGGTACGGTCACACGAGTGCTCACGGTCGTTACGTCATGCATACTAATTACATCGCTTCGTAATTCGAATCCAAGATTCGAACCCGCAAGCCCAAAGCGCCATCTATCGATTCCAAGGTTTAAAAATAACCCCCCCCCAACGACAGACCAGAAAGAATAGGTCTGTAGAGAAGAAGGACTTTAAAAAAATCTGTTTACGAGTTGATTAGCGTAGAAGTAAACCCGTTTTGTGATATTCCCCCTTCTCCTTCTCCTCCTCCTCCTCCTTCTTCTTCTTCCCACTGTTTTTGCCACCATCTTGTGTAAGCCTGAAGCTTCGACATTTGCACGGTCGCTTCTCGGTAAACAAAAATTTCGCGTGGATGGACGAGTAAGCAGAAAGGCTCAAACACAAGAGCAACTTTAAGAGAATCGATCGATAGTTTCGTTTCTTGCGAACCCGATAGGCGTATTTTCTATGACGGAACACAAATTTTTTTGGGGAGGAGAAAAAAAAAATGGTAGCCAAATTAACTGGCACGCGTGAAGAAGACGTTACGATTTCGAAACGTGAAAGTAAAAACTCAATTAAAAAGTAGCCTGTTCGATGGGGTAGAGGTAGGAAAACATGTCACAATTACACTTTCCGTTCAGGTAGAAGCTGCCCCATCGTGGCCCGACCTTGACTGACAGCAGAGATAAGTGCCGAGGGGTTGTTCGAGATGCGAAGAAATAAAAACGAATGATACAAAACTAAGGTTTCCCAAGTTGCCAAGGTCGATGTAATGTCGCTGCAAGGGTTGCCCAATCAAGGTCACGGGCGGTTAGTGTCGCCATCTGTCATCGAAATCGCTAACTTTCGTGGGTTGTCCCCCTTCTTTTTTTTTTAATATATTTTTTTCTTTACATCTTCGAGAAAAATTCTGTAGCAATAGTAAAAATTTCGCACGTGCTAATATACTAAAGCAATTAGCTATAAACCGAATGATAAAAAGTGGCGATAGCATTGGGTGTAATGATGATAATAATATTTAATGGGGTAGAATTAATATAAAACGTATTGTCCTATTTCGTGGCTTTGATACCGGATAAAAAGTTGGATAACGTGTTAATTATAGATGTATCATTAAGATAAAAGACGAAAGGATGTGTTTTGGATAGGTTTTTTGTGTTTTTCCTTTAAGAAAAGCGAAATGGTTCCTTCGATAAACTAAAGACACGCCGGGTTTAGAGAAATTTATGATGGAGTAGCCAGGTTTTGGCTTAGTCTAGGTTGTTAGAAATCGGTTTTTATTCTTAAAATATAAATTTTTAAATCATTTAATTCGTCTATTTTTCGCTTTAATTTAATCATTTCGAACTAAATTAGGAGAGTAATTAAAATATTTTATTACCCTCCCATTTAGAAAAGTAGAAGAAGTAGGAGTTGGCATTGTTCATAAGGGGATTGCTTTAAATTATACGTATAAAACCGAATTATTTGTACGTTAGAATAAGTAAATTGTACACGTAAATTCTAAAATGACACTGTTACTGTCGAAGCGTAAAGAAACCAAAGCGATACAAGTGTAAAGAAGAATCAAACAAGTTTATTTAATTAAAAAAAAAAGTAAAGAGAAAGATGTAAATAAGTAGGATTCCATAGAAAATTGTTAAAGAATTAATCCATCAAGAAATTCATCAGGATTTAAAATAATTTAAAGAAAAAAAAATCAATATATATTTTTTTCTCTTAATTAAAGCGATAATTCGTGTGAAGTATCCAGAATTAAAAAAAAATGATGATAATAACCGGAATATTCGGCCTTTTTTTAAGCTTTATATTACCGATGAAAGGGTTTTATTTTGGTGAATATAGATTTACGGAGCGACGACAGTTTCGTTTAGTAAATCAGAAATTTTAGAGAATTTATATTAAGTTTCTTTAACAAGCTGAAGAAGTAAAAAAAGTGACAGTTTAACGACTTTAGTTAATGGCGATAATTTCACTACGGTTAACAAATCAAATATTTCCTGCTGTTAATGATATCGTTTATTGTCTAACTTCAGTTTTTCGCCCCTCGATAGTATTTTACGTCGATTGGAATTAGGATAATATCGTAAAAAAAAAAAAAGAAATCGCTTAATATTTAACAAAAAGTCTGTCAAAGCAACGACAATAAAAAAAAAAAGGAATAATTCTCTTCTTCGGCTACCGAACTTTTATTGTAAATTCTTTAACCAATTTCGCATTAACGCCTTTAATAAAACATGTTTTATTAATTATAAATCCATATTTATACGGTTCTAATCCCTTAGAGAGCGATTTCGATAAAAATAGAGCGTGTAGTAGTTGTTTTAATGGGTTTTTATGTTAATGAAAGCCCACGGGTCTTCATTATTGTTTTGGTTTACCCGAAAAGATTTTGAAGAAATGTATACTCTTTCCACTCCATTTTTATACGTATTTTTCTGTAAAAATATTATGTAGAAAGGAATCAACTTAACCTACATCGTTCTATGTAAATTTTTAAATCAAAGAAAAACATTTTCCACAGAATTTTATCGAATCATCACGCAGTAGTTTTCCAAGGAAAATTGATTTGCTTCTCAGATACGAAAATATCGATTTTGAATAGGTCCACTTTTGTTTAACGCCCTTTTTAACAGGAATATCCTATATAAAAAAAAAGTTGTTGGAACGAAAAAAAAAAAAACGAACATTTACAATCATTTTCTTTTTCAAAATATATATATATATATTTATTATTCTTCCTGAATTAAACATATACATACGTATATGTATGTATATATTTATATAAATATAAAATTCTGCTCATCTCTAGTGGCGTCACAACTTATAGAATGTTATTTTTCTTTGAAAAGAGATCATCAGCGAAGTTGAATATTTCATTCAAAACATCTTTCTTTGCCAATAGACCAACCAGGGAGAGATATCTTTAGAAACAGCTCCCTAACCATACGTGATGACGTCAAAACTGCGCGTATCCGTGCGCTCTTGTGCATCATGATCTTTGCGAATGGATGTCCTTGGCCTCTACTGACAGAAGGAGGAGGCAGGATGCGGTTTCAACGTCGTCATAGCAACCTCATGTAGACTAACAACAATTTGTTTTGCTGCACAAGAGACAGGCTGTCTCTTGTACGGAATGATCGTATTTCCTTCATTTTTTTCTTCCACTTCTTTTTTCTTCTTATTATTATTTCTCTACATTTTTATTAATTTCTACCCGGTTAATAATAGCCAGAGAGAAAAAGTCAGAAGTATTAGTTATTATCGAGAGATAACTTCACTTCTATACCAGGGAGGATGGCAGTGGAACCTATCTAAAAGGGGCAGAGAGAGAGAGAGAGAGAGAGGATAAAGTAAAATAAAATGGCGAGAGACAATATTTAAAAAGAAAAAAAAAATTATTCTATAAAATCTTCAAAATGTACTTCTTTTTTTTATTATTTTTTTTTAAGGGAGAAAGTTGAGCAATTTATTTCGTAGAAATGTTTTTCTTCGTAGCCACTTACATAGATGAGATGTTCTCGTGACGGAACGGTCCCTAAAAAACCTTACGTTCGATCCTAAATACGAGTATACTCGACCTCTTCGTGATTAATCTGCGGTAAATATGACCATCACTCCCCGGTTTTATGCTGAATTATATAATAATCGATATTGATTAATTAACAAAAATACATATGTATATACCAGAAAAACGGTTGAAGTCATTAAGAAAAAAGTTTCCTTCCCCTCTTCTTAAGTGTAGTCGGGTTTACGGCGCTGTATCCGAGTTCGCGTGTTTGTTTGTTCAGCGACTACAGAAGCAGCGATGTCGATTTTTTTCTATATACATACACACACGTACACACACACACACACACACACACACACACACGGAAAAAAGGAGATTTTATGCAGTTAAATGTCGTAACTAAGTTTAAAATATTTATTTATTTATTCTTTAATTCTGTTGTTTGTTCGTCAATAAAACCGGAAAAGGAGTAGGAAATTAAAAAGAAAGGAAATTTAATTGTAATTGAGTGTTTCGTTGTATTGATTTGTTACTTATTTAATGAGAATTACACGCTCGGTAGTTAAAAAAAAAAAAACTAAAGAAATGAAAGCGTAACCGAGCGATTTTTACGTGACGATTGTTAATTTGTATTGTTAATCATAGGATGATCGGTGTAAAAGGGAGGAGAACGATGGGATTTGGTAACCAGAAAAGTGATAGAATATTGCGCAGAGTTTGAATGAGTACAATCTGTGATCACGCTATGTCTAGGAGCGGACATGATTGAAAGGCAAATATTTATTCTCCCAGTGGCATAGAAAAGACCATGCTGTCTACTTTATAACGTATTAGGTGGTTACCTATTGAAATGATGCATCACGGTAAAAAGTCGTATGTAAATGAATGTGTGACGGTGGGGGAAGATGTAGAAGGTGACGGCCATTGTTCTAATCGGTGACCGGGACCGGGTGGGAGAGACGAAGGGATATATACAAACACCATTAGCGGACGAGTCCAAATTGGACGGTCCAATCTTTCTCATTCACCGTGACAAAGTGGTCCTTTACTCCTTCGCCGCCATCTTGCGTGACTATTTCTCGTGCATGACGTCACGATATGATGTGCGTTCTGCACGAGAGCACGTGCGCACAGACGTCAAGCAACACTAGATGGGTAATGTTTCCTTCAAGACAACCAAGATGGGGGTGACTTCTTCCTGGGGCAACAAACCCTAACCCTGGCCGTGACACACGCGGGACAATAACGAAACGCATTCGGTCGCATACTCTCCAACTCTTATCTAAATCTTTTTTATGTGTATAAGCGGAGTCCATCAAGGTAGAAACCGGTAAACCGTCAGGTAAATATTTTAAAGGGGAAGGCGGTTGGGAAACTAGTTGACCCAGTTACGGCCCTTCTCACTAGTTTTGCTCGAATGTGCTCATTGGCGTGGAGGGTTTAGGTTGCTGTAGACGAGGCTGCCTAGCGTGGCCACTGGGTGGCGTTGCTAGTGGAAGGTTTAGACAGTGTTGTACCTTGACTGAGAACGTACGGTACTTCTTAGTTGTCCTCCTTGGCTGTGACACGTGTTCGTTCAATTACACTTTTTAAAGGCAGGTGAGGCCCCGACTACCCCATACCAATTATTGTTCACGTGTAAAACAAGCCACAATACCTTTTATCTAACTGCTCTTGTTTGTATTTCTCAGATCTAATCTTCGACACTGCCGAGTTAAGCAGAAAGACATTTTGAATGGTAAGTGTTTTTACCTCTCTTGTTTTTAGTGCTCAACTCGTTTATACCTACTTTGACTAGTTTTTAGTTTTATTTTAACCCATTAATTTTATAATTAAGCGCTTCGAAGGAGGTGGCGTCAAGACTTTTCCGCTTAATACCGGGAATATATATATAATTTTAAATTTAAGTATTTAATATTACTTCTTTGGGATGAAAATGATGGAATATCTGTTAGTTGACTTAAATTTAGAAGGTTTTGATTCTCTTCATGCTTGACGACCGCATTGTTTGAAGGTGGAGGTCATCCACAGGAGTCAAGCCCTCCTGCAGTTACTTATTAATGAAGTCATTCCATCTCCAGAAATGTTGCAGATGGTTTCCTATGACGCTTCATGGTTTGGGGCATCTTTACGAGAATCTGGAACGATTCCCAGCGTTTAAATTCATAAACTACCGCTTTTCGTTTTATTTCGGTTCCTTTCTTTTTTATTTATTTATTTATTTATTATAATTCTTTTCTTCATCTTCCTCTCCGAAGGAAGTTTCTTTCGTTTCTCCCTTTCTTATTTTTAGTAAACAAGTCAGATCGTACTACAAAAGATAGGGAAACCTACAAAAAGGGT